TACCTTTGTCTTTTCTTGGCTCTTTCTTTCAAGGCCTACACCCTCTCATTCTTGTCGTTTTTCAAGGATTGCCTTTCCCAGTACACATTCATGTACAAGCAAACATTTCTCTGATGACACTATGTTTGAGTCCCATACAGCCAATGAGGATCAGCCTGACAACAATCCCTGCATGCTCTGGAAAAAGAATTGGACCACACCTCACCGACTGCACTGCATTCAACTCATTCTGTTTCAATTGACACTCCAACCAGAACCTCGAGTACTGATTTCAATCAAGTTGAGGATTTCAACCTAGATCTTCAATCAAGCAAATCTCATCTAACATGTACTAGAGATAACTCATTAGAGACTTTCCCTGTACTGGCATTTTTTTTTCCCACAGGACCCCACATGGCTACCATCATCCCATTTCAGCAGGAAGTAACTTAGAAGATGCTATACCCCTGTTCCCCATTATTGTTTATTAGGGTAGTGTAAGCCTAGTTAAGAATGACCTTCCTATTGTTTAGGGTTGGGATTGGAAGGAGGTGTTCAGGTTGGACACCCATTTGACTTTAGGGCTTAGCTGGAATAGACATAGAATGTGCAATAGCAGATTATTGTATCTTCTTGTATTTCACCTTTATGATTGTTAATTTTGGATATTTTACACTATTAAGTTTTAATCCTCTTTTAGACTAAAAGGGGAATTGTAGGGAGCCACTGTAACCACATCTCCTAAGGGCTGGCTACAGGTGTGCTTGACCACGCCTGTCAGGGCATGGTCAAGTGGAGGTCAGGATAGATTCTAAAAGGGCTGCAGACACGTGTGGACCCCTTCTCTCTGGCCTCCCTGCCTTGCTGCCTCTCAGTATGCTCTGGCTTGTGCTTGGCTGGTGTATTTGAATAAAGAAAACCTATACCTATTGACTGCTGGTCGATCTCTAACATTCTTCTGTGTTGTTCTGTCATTAATATTTTTTTTTCATGTTCATAAAGCCTTAGTTCATGATTTATCATTTGTGTTTTATTTTTAAATAACCATGGCTCTCATTTTAAAGTAGTACCATTTCTTATAAAATGTTGGGAATGTTCTTTTAAATTTTCATTTATTCTCTTCATATGTGTACATAGACATATATGCAGGCAAATATGCATATATTTATGTGTATGTGTTCATGCATGTGAAATTTCATACATTTGCATGTTGAAGGCAGAGGACAAGTAGAAAGAGCTAGTTCTTTCCCATCATCTTGGGGGATCCAGGGAGTGAACTCTGGATATCAGGCCTGCAAATAAATGCTCTACCTGCTTGTCCTTGCTTACTGAGGTATCTTTCTGGTCCTTTCAATATTCTTTCAAAGTGTTAGCTAATAAAAAATATTGGATGGTATTTTAAAATATTCTTTGACACAGAACCATAGTAAAGCCATGGTTTTTTCCCAGTTGTTTCAGTTGGATCTTACAGAAGCATCAGGCTTGACTTTTCAGCATCAACTTGTATGTCCTTTGGCTTCCAGTGAGATTCTGATGCCCACAAGATGTGTGAAAGAGAAATGAAGAGTACTCTTGAGGACAGTGTGATGCCACTAAGGACTGTAATGATCTGCTTTTTCCATAATCCATAAGGAAACTGATTCCATTAATTTAATTCTCCTATCAAACACGAATGTGATCTTGATAATTGTTTTATAATCTGCAAAAATGAATTCATTTCATAGTGGGTGGCAATGTTGCCCAACTGAGTTTTGGAAAAGACTTCACAGTAACAGCTGGAATTGAACAAAACACTTTAGGACAAATTTCACTTTATCAGATGAATTTTTGTGCATTTTGCAAGCAGTTGAGAAAACCCTTAATTGGTTGGACTAGTAATATTATTGGGTGTCCTTTAAAATTGTCTCCAGGTGGCTAACATATTTCATTAACCTATTCTTTTTTTTTTCCTCTTTGTGTCTTGCTTCATGCAACCAATTAAGGACCAAAGTTTCTATTACATGACAAACATAAAGAGGCTGGATGAGTCCTGATGCTTCTCTGAAGGGGAAGCTGTAGCCACGCTCCTACTTAGGGGCTGGCTACAGGTGTGCCTGACCACGCTTTCGAGAACGTGGTCAGGGTGACATAGGGTGACTGCGTTTTCTCTTTCGGTTTCCCTTTTGGGCTTGCATACAGACTGCTGCCACGCCGGCTGGCTAGGTCGCTCTGTAAGTAAGGCTTTTCCCTATTAAATCCCTTGTATTTCTACCTGTATTGGTAATTTCCCACTATACTTCTCCATCAGAGAATTCTAAGAGTTCATTTTAGTATAGTTGGATTTAAGCACTATGATGAAGGAGATTTCATACATTTTCCTATACACTTCAATTGTTTTTACATTATAAAGATGTCTGCAGAAAAATATTCATTTTTATGAATTAACCCTGCATTGATATTTCAAATCTCACTTTGGATTGCTATGAGCAGATGAGATTGCTAGATATAGTTCTCTTACCTGTGTAATTCACTTTAAATTCAAGGTGCATCATAGCAATATCATTGAACTTTCTTCGCTTATCATAATGAGGGTTTATGACAATTTGATCAATCACCCGTCTTTCTACTTGAGGAGAAGTCAGATTTGATTGCATATTCAGGCCTAGGAATGCCGTCCATCTGGTTGGATCTACATTTCTTCTGAAGATTGAAATAAGAAAATCTTTTCAAGTAACTTTCCATCTAGGATGAAACTTTCCAGAAGTCATCTAACATAAAAAGTTAGAAATGTATAGTATTTCCATTCAATAGTATTCATTGATTCCTCTAAGGAGTGTTCCTTCTAAAGTATTATTCTTATTATTTTTCACTTATACAAAAATTAGGACACACTTAGGGATTGCCATTTGATGTTTTGATACATGTGTATGTATGGTGTTGTAAAGTTTAAGTCTAAGTCAGTACATACATTTTCTCTGGCATTTATTGTTTTCTTGTGGTGAAACTATTCAAGATGCTTTCTTCCACCTTTTGAAACATGTATCACTGTTATTTGTAGCCACACTGTTTTGCAACACAAAACTAACCTCTACTTTATCCTAGCCTTGTTTATTGATCAAATTCCATCCCCTGATCTCCTCTGTTTGCACCCATAGCCTCTGATAACAAATACTACATTATTAACTTCTTGTAAACCAATTGTGCTGGGTTCCACAAGTGACTCTACTTTAATATTCCTAATTAGATTGCAGAAGCTTAATTAATGCTATTTCTCTTCTAACATGACTCTTCAAACATCTTTTTGACAATTTATTAGTTACTTTTCTATTGCTATGATAAAACATTATGAAAAAGGCAACTTATAAAAGGAAGATTATTTGACTTCTGCCTCCAGAGGAATAGATAGAAAAGCCTTCATGGGTATCATTTCTGTTAGAAAGTAGTGCTTCATTGTATTTTCGGATTTTTCTTTCTTCTTATATCCTACATGCTGCCCAAAGTGGAAGAGCTGGGGTGGGAGTATAACTCAGTGGTAGAACACCTGGTTAGCATGGGCAAAGCCTTTAGATTGATCACTAGTTCTGAAGAAAAGGGGAGGTATAGAGAAAAATACTAGAATGTGATAGCATAGAATAGATTAGTAAAAAAAAGGAAGAGATGAAAGTAATGAAATGATATGAAGGAAAGAGGGAAGGAATGAAGGCAGAAGATAGAAAAAAGGTGGACAGATGACCATATAGATAGTAATCTCCAATTCTTTGGATGTTACTTGGATAAGGATTCTTCAGGTGTAGAAGTTGACTTAATTCTGCCAATTTTTCCCTCCATCTGTTAGGTGTGGTAAAAATACTGATCTTCAAATTGAAGGAAAAAGAAAGTATTTCAAAAACACCAATGATAATCTATGCTGGAGAGAATGTGGAGAAAAAGGAACACTCCTCCATTGCTGGTGGGAGTGCAAACTTGTAAGACCACTTTGGAAATCAGTATGGCGGTTGCTCAGAAAAATGGGAATCAGTCTTCCTCAAGACCTAGCAATTCGTCTCTTGGGCATATACCCAAATAATGCACGTTCATACAACAAGGACATATGTTCAATTGTGTTCATAGCACCATTGTTTGTAATAGCCAGAACCTAGAAGCAACCTAGATGCCCCTCAACTGAAGAATGGATAGAGAAAATGTGGTTCATTTATACAATGGAGTACTATTCAGCAGAAAAAGCAATGGAATCTTGAAATTCGCAGACAAATGGATGGAACTAGATGACACCATCCTGAGTGGGGTAACCCAGTCACAAAAAAGACAAACATGGTATGTACTCACTCATATATGAACTTTAGACATATAGCAAACTATTACCAGCCTACAATCCTTTTCACCAAAGAAACTAGGGAACAAGAAATGCTCTAAGGGAAAAATGCGTGGACCCCAGAGAATGGGAAGGGGCAGGAACTCCTGAGCTAATTGGGAGCATGAGAGTAGGTGAAAGGGAGCTGCCAGAATAAGAAGAGGAGAAGGGGGGAGAGAAGGAAATTGAGGAGAAGAAATTTTGAGTTTGGGGAAGAATAGAGGAGAGCAGGATGAGAGATACCATATCAGAGAGAGCCATTATAGGTCCGAGGAGAGATCTGGCACTAGGGAGATTTCCAGAGATTACAAGGATGACACCAACTGACAATCTAGACAATGGTGGACAGGCTACCCTCAATGCCCTTACCATATAATGAGACTGATGATTACTTTACGTGCAATCCTAGAGCCCTCATCCAGTGACTGATGGAAGCAGAGGCAGACACCCACAGATATACACTGAACTGAACTCTGGAACAAGGTTGCAGAGAGGGAGGAATGAAGATCATAGGGGTCGGTACCAGGCAGGTGAAACCCACAGAAACAGCTGGCCTGAACAAAGGGGGGCACATGGAACCCAGACTGCTGTCTGGGAGGCCAGCACGGGGACTGAAACAGACCCCTGAACTTGAATGTCAATTAGGAGGCCTCAGCACTCTAGGGCGCCCCGGTAGTGGATTTAGTATTTTTCCTTGGTGTAAGAAGAGACTTTGAGAGCCCATACCATGTGAAGGAATGCACTTTTGGCTTGGACACATGGGGAGGGCCTAGGCCCCGCCCAGGATGATGTGGTAGACTTTGGGGAGCCACAGTCAAAGGTCCTGCCCTGCATGGGGAGTGGAGGGTGAATGGGGTGGGGAATAGTTGGGGGGTTGGAGGGGAGGCTTGGGGAGGAGGGGAGGGGGAGGGAGAGGGAGAAGTGATTGACATGTGAAGCAAGCTTATTCCTAATTTGAACTAATAAAAAAATAAGGAAAAAAAAGAAATATTGTAAAAAACATACGTCCAAGGATTAACTAAGTGAAAGATATCATTAATTCTACTCTAGACCTGTTTGACATTTAGAAATCATTTGCTTTGTGAGGATTTTACCAAGCTTGAAGCTAATAAAACCATATTGCTGATTAATACCTATTTTTGTGCAACAGAATTGGCTAAAATTTTAGCTAAAACTTTTATTTTGTAATATAGTTGCGATAGAGATCATCAACTTGTAACTTGCTCAAAGGAATAAATATAGGGAAAGAGTTGGAGAAATATTTAGTACAGATGAGAAACAAATGTCTACTGTAGTTATTTCTGATGGTGTATCAGGAAAAAAAGACCAAATATAATCATCAGAAGATGACAGCAGAGTCAGAGGAGGTTCCTTTTACTATGAGCAAGGATATTATTTAGTTATCTCAACATTGCACGAGTGTATAACATCAGAGTACTATAGAGGCAGATTCCTTGGATAGTTCCCCAGAAAACTAATTGGTTAGCCAATATACCATCTGGTCAAATGTCTCAGATGTACAGACTTCTGTTGTCTGCATTTGAGTTTATCCTAATTATGGTGCCATGGGCATCTAGATGCAGGTGGAATCAACAGTGTACTTCAACATGACAACTCTGCCTCTTCCTCTCTTCCCTGAAAGTGTCTTACAATTTGTTCATGCATACCCAGCAACTCTCCTTGTCTCCTTGTCTGATATGGAAGGGAAGTTAACTGTTGGAACCTGACTATGTACATCTGTCTTCTACAAGCCCCAGCACACAGTTCATTCTCAGTCTCATGTGAGAGTCTCATAGGGAGACTCACCCTAATCTTAACAGATAAGGTTATGGGATGCCATGCCTAACCAGCTCTTAGATGCAGGAAATCAATTGTATATCTGGTTTCCATACATCTTAGGAGGAAACTTCCTTTCTTTTACAGGTTGACTGACAATTGTTAGTAGGTAACTAAAACCTTAAAATTTTCCTTGTGTCAGAGTAGATGAACAGTTTCTTGAGGCCCGACTATTTATTACTTCCGTTCTCCCCATCCCTTTCCATTTCTCTCCTTACCCTTGTGGTACTGCATTAGGAATGACTGTTTTTAGTGAGAGAAAAATCAGTCCTAGAATTAGGCATGTCAATGTATGTAGGAGAAATAATCATTGATATTATGAATGAATATTATATTTAAGTAAAAAAATTTATACATAATTTTATGGAAAATGATTGGAAAGTTTATGTCACAAACAGTAGAAATATTTTCCTGGTGGAGTTGGGGTTATAAAAAAATCAGATGCTCTTTTGTGTCTGCTGAGATTACCCCATTTGATAAGGGACACCTTGCTGAGGGAGGAAATAGTTTCCTGTAGGTTGTATGAGAAAAGGACCCATAGTGGAAACTAGCAGTTTATAACACAGAGGGAATGGATGCTTGAGTTAAAAGGGATTGTTAGTGCTGAGTGATGAGGGCGGAGGCTTAGTGATGAGAAACAAACAACTTGCAGTTGTGTTTGACTAAGAGGTCTTAAAAGGAGGCAGGCTCTGAGAATTAAGGTCAGTGTCAGCATGCAGCTAGCTTGCTTTCCTGAGACCACATCCCAGTCTTCCAGGAAACATATGAGTGCTATTGCTTTTTAACATATTCTTGGTTCCAATGCAGGTAAGTGAAACAATCCCTAAGGAAGCTTTTCATCTGTTTCAACAGGCAAATCCCAGACTATCTTGTAGACAAGGTGTTAACCCACATCAACTAAGAACAACTATATATACATTTTGGTATATATACTTTGGCATATATGAAAAGAGAACGTAGTATAATTATTAGCACTGGAGACACCTGTGAGGTTGGAGGCCCTTAAAGCAATCCAGGAGACTAACAACTAGCAGATAGTCATAACTAACAAACCAGGAGACAGGTGGACAGATGGGGGGTCTTCAACCATCACTTATTGGAGAGTGGTCCATGAATAGCACACAGTCACTTCCCTGGTTGGGTTAGGGGAACATGCACAGAGCATATGGACAGAGAATTGGCTCAGAGTCTGGTAGCTCAGAGAACCAATAATTTCATAACAATTATCACAAGTTTTGTTCATTTTGTGCTATGTCGCTATAAAAGCTCATTGATTATTTCAAGGACATTTTCTTCTGTTTGGAAGCCTCCTCCCCATTCTTGGAGATTTTCTCACTTTTCCTTAATTTGTCAAATTTAATTACTGTCTCTTAACAAAGCTTGCACCGTGTTTTGGTGCTTTGCTTACATGAAGATGAATATGCATATATCCTTTACTGTCATGAGACAGAGAACACGGAGGCACTGTCTCTTGTCAGTCTTCCGTGATGGTGAGTGTTGGGCCCTTTACATTCATACTCACCCATATACACAGTGTGCAGCAGACACCAGCCATTCACTGCTGACCAGAGACGCACCACAGAGAAGCCGGTCCCTGTAGCTGTCTCTGTAATACAGAGCCACAACCCAGGGCCACGACCCTGGTTGGGCATCACTTCCACCAACGATCTTCGGGTTGACTTTCTGGGTCACCATTTTTTCTCCACAAGCTATCAAAATAATGGAAGAAATGATATATACCTTATTTTTAGGTAATTCGTTTGGTCATGAAAATTGAAGTGATGAAAAATACCTTCAAGTGACATAAAATTCTGTCTGGAATTCTAAATTGAAGGCTTAAAGTTGACAAATACTTACATTTATGGTTACAATGTAGCATAGTCAATAAATCTTGTGAACACTGTAGACTATAACAGAAAATAAGTTTTTGTTAGTTAAATAGACATTTAAACCTACATACCAGATATGAAATTCAAAAAAGCTGAAATCCACAGAAGAAAATTGCCATCTTGAATGTCAAATAGGTCTGTGTTTGCATTTTTACTACATACTCTTTACATGATTTTAAGAAAACTACTCAGTATCAATATGATTATAATAGAACTTAATGTATTGTAATTTCATGGAGATTAGGTGAAAACATTGCTTTGGAATTAACATGAATTAAACATAATTAATATTTGATCTATGATAGATAGTTCCATTTTGCTCACACTAACCTTGGATTTCATTATTGTCTCATTCATAGGGAATGTGTTTCAATACCTCTAGTGTTTATTTAAAACCACATATAGTACTCAAGCCTACATTCAATGAGTTTCTTGGTAACTAAACACCCACCATACACCACAGTAATAAATTGGGCAGTTTTGGTTGTTATGGTGAATGTAACACAAACTGAGGTTTTTTCCTTTTCCACAATACTCTGAATAGAAAATACCTGTTTACGATAGATTTTAGATTATTAGCAATACCAGCACGTACCTTTTCTTCTTCTCCTTATTATTCAGAAACCCTTTAAAGATATACACTATTCCTTTACTTTGGTGTCATTATTGAACAAACTGACTTACTTGAATAAAAGCACTGAACACTGCAAGTAATTTTGAGAATTAAAGTAACCTCTGAAGAATTAATAGGAAGATAATGCATGCCTTGCTTGTGTTACACCAAGAGATGGTTCATTTAAGACACAATACGATTTGCCAGAGCTACCCAAATTGGCAAGGATTGAAACTAATGAACTGCTTATATACGGATGTACTCTTTCAATATGGATGTATTTAGACTATGGCTGGTCATTTGGTAACTGAAGTAATATAAATTAAGACTGTAAATGAGGAACACCTGATGAAAATCACCCTCAATATCATCAATTTTAGAGCTATTTAGTGGATTTATTCTGTTAAATCATTCTGTAAGGGAATGATGAATGGATTGCAAGGTGTTTGTAAGAGAGGCAGACATGGGCATGGGAACTATAAAACAATGAATAGGAACAAACTGATGAAAAAGTATCGCCCATAATTTTGAAATTTGTATTTTCAAGAGCCAAATTGTACATAAAGAAAATGTGTTTATGAGGTGTTATACTATTCAACCAGCAGAGGTCAATGTTACCCCAGCAATCACAATACTTCTCACTTGTGCTGCTGCTGAGGGAACATCCCACACTTTAAATAACACATGTATTTGTATACATGGGCGCACACCTAGAGTTAAATGCTTTACACTTCAATGCCTACCAGAATGAGGTATGCATGTTGCTTAATGCTATAAGCCGCAAGGTCACAAAGTAATTATACAGCCACCGTATCATGAGGTATCTCAGAAGAATTAAGGATTCCTGATAGATGAAACCAGTACAAAGACTGTACTTGACGTTATAATCTTGTGACTGAATTGGCTGTTTCTTGCTGTAGATTCTTCCTATAGCTTATTCCTTTCTGTAACAAACTTGGGATTGACTTCCCACAGTTTAGCACTATCTGGCCATTTACTGGGAAAAAATTTCTCCCACGCATTTGGAGTTTACTGATTACACTCCCTAGCTATGTGTAAAACCTGTTCTCCATTAACAGGTCCCAGTTTTCTGATTACATTCCTTAACTATGTGTCAGACCTGTTTCCCATTATCAGGTCCTTGCTCCCTCTCCTTTGCAATTGCAGAGATTGCCTTCCTGCAATTACCTGTATTGACAGGCATTTGGTCAGTGTTTAGGCCCAGGCAAAAGCATCCTATCTAAGACATTCCCAGATATCCATGGACATAGAATTATTACAGGCCCAAAGCTGTTGATTCATAGCCGCCTAGATGGATTGAAAAAATAAGCATGCCCTGGTTTTGCCTCACTGGTAGGTAGAGAAGCAATAACCTAAACTAGCACTGCACTAAAACATGCTCAAACTTCTGGTTGTATTAACTCAGCATTTTAGCTCAGAGATTTACTGCTCTCTCTTGTTTCCCCGAGAAGATAAAGACAAGTGTAATCAGCCCATTTGCTCATCCTCAGGGAAAAGTAAACTTTCCTGAAGGCCTGTGCTGCCACTGAGGCTAGAGCTCTGGAAGGTTCTAGGTTTTGTTTCTTGTGCAAATTAAACTTAGACCCTCAATTTGACCTACAGCCCTAAGCAACTGATGCTAAAAGTTTCTCCTAGCAGATTTAGCTTATTGCTCTGTGTGTAAATCTTACCTGCCTTGCTGACACTGAGAAATTCAAGCCTCACATTGTATTGTAAAAAGAATTACTGTTGCAAACATATATTTACCTGAACCCCCAAGAACTGAGAAGAAACAATGAAACAGAGAGAAGAACAGAGAAACAGAGAAAGCAAGCAAGAAAGAAAGATGGATAAAGGAACATGCAGAGGAGCAATTGTGTGTGAGTCAATTCCTTTTCCCCTCAGATTTTAGTTCCTTTGCTTATTTGTGATTCCTTTTTTAAACCCTGAGTGAAAAGTCTAAAAGCTAGACTTCTAAAGTTTTCGATTTGTCTTAAGTCCTCTTACTCTGGGGAAAAAGATAAAAGGAAAAGTACAAAACAATACTGTATACTCAATCAAGACATCGCAATGTTTTTAGAACATGCACAATAGAGCTTATTTATAAGCTCATGTACCTACGTTCTATTGGTGATTTTCTATTTTAATGTACAATTTCAATAGAAATATAAGAAAATTTATTTTATTAATAATCAATTGATTATATGTCTCTGTGTGTAAAATGCTTCAAAGAAGTCCACCTGTGTTTGAATGAAAAGTAGTTTATAGGATGCCTCATCAGACATTTTCAAGTCTCACAAAACACTTTTTACATCTACAGTACTCATCAATAAAAATTCATATTCAAGATGGCTTCTAAGACATTGTTGGTGGTCTTGGAAAGAGTAAACAATGCTTAATTAATCTGTATCAAGCACAGTATAATAGTGGCGTTAATATGACTCAGTGCTGACACCTTTTCATAAGAAAGGAAAGACATGGACTTTTTTCTGAATCATTCATGTAATTGTTTTGAATGACTTTAAACTATTTCCTTTTGTCTTTCTTAGTAATAATTAAAGTGTGGAACGTGAGTAGGTAGAATTCTCAACCTAATGGAGAGCTATGGATTTCAAAGTGCTTTGTAGAGAGGAATTGGGGAAGCTGTTTGAAAACTTTCAGACGGTTTCGTTCATTTCCAGTGCGTCTCATGACATCAGTTGACATTAATACAAAATACTAAACAGACAAGGCCCTTTTCTTGATACTAAATATGGTCCTTACAAATTTGATTTACTGCTGGAGCTATGGGAGTTCAGACTTGCAGGAATAATAGAATCACATGATGCTATTTTTGACATCAAGTCTCTTAAAACAAAATAGAATGGTAATAGGATGTTAACTCAGAGTACAATTTTGATGTCTCCTTGCAGTAACTTCTCATCTACACTTTGTCTATAGTAAAATTATAAAAGTCAGAGGCCAATTTCAGACAAAAATTACCACTAGTGCCTAAATAGGACAAATTGCATAGTTTACTCATGACATGCTTTTAAATAGAGGAGGGGTGTGGCTTTACAATACCCTACAAAAGACTGAAGGAATAAACCTAACTTCAAATAGAAAAAAAAAACCCAAAAAACAAAAAAGAGAGACACAATACAGGCCTAATTATTTTAAATGATATTCATATTTATTTGCTAAGAAAATTAATATTTGATGCTCATCTAAACCTTTGCCTTTTGGTTGTTGTCTGAGGAGTATTGATTCTACTCATTCTAGGACTTACAATTTGTTTTTATGGGATTTAGAATATGAGAATAAGAACAGTATAAAGGTATATCATCTCCCTTTTGGTATGCCAAAACTTCAGTTACTTACATTTCATTAGACTGTTTTATAAACATGAGACTATCCTATCAGAAAAGATTAGCGGATGCTTGGCATTACACAAAGGAATGAAATTGAACAATTGTATATGTGTTCAGTACATGGTACCACTGACATTTTATTGTCTTCAAAATATTTTCCATCTAGTCCTGTGTACCAAATGATAATAAAACATTAGTACGAACCTGGGGGTTAGTGTCAAGGTACCATTAGGAGCTCTGTTTAAAGTCACAAATGGTCCTTCTCCAGTAGAGAATGTTGACATTGATGAGTTTGCACTCCTAAGGGAGGAAAAAAAGACAGAAAATAAAATACCAAGAAAAACATGTTACATTTTAAATCATTGAATGATGCTTATCTTGAAATAATTTAATGACCTGGGGGGAGTGGAGGGTGGGGAAACTGTGATTGGGATGTGTTGTATGAGAGAATAATCTATTATATATTATATATTCAGTATACAATATATATACAATAAAATATTAGCAGAATTATTGTAAGGACGTGAAATATAGCCAATTTCTGAGAAATGCCTTTGATACTTGTTTGCATAGCCTACAGCAAGGTACAAAGATCACTCTACATTTCTCTTGAGGATCAGATTTTTTTTTCAAAAATTTTAGTTAAATTAGAAACAATCTTATTTTACATATCAATCCCAGTTCCCTTTCCCTCTCATCCTCCCATGTCCCCCCAGCGATCCCCATCCACTCCTCAGGGAAGGTGAGGCCTTCCATGAGGGATCATCATAGTCTGTTAAGTCATTTGGGGTAAGGCCTAGGCCCTTCCCCATGTATCTAGGCTAGGAGAGTGTCTCTCCATGGGGAATGTGCTCCAGAAGTCCATTTGTGCACTCAGAATAAATAGATTTCAATAGCTCAATGGGTCCATTCATACTAAAGTTTGAGTAAGATAGAAATGAGCATAGCACTCACTTTAAGCCCTTATTTCCAACAAGTAAAACTCATGTTTCAGAAAATCAAACTACCTAAGATCTATGTAGTGAAATAAGATTTTTCAGACTTCAGTTTTCAAATAGATCTATCTATCTATCTATCTATCTATCTATCTATCTATCTATCTATCTATCATCTATCTATCTTGCTTCTGATATTTCATTAAATTTAAGATCCAAGCAGTCCTAATTCAAAGACAGAAGACATCTGGTTGCTCTGAGGACCTGTGCAGCCTGGATCTGCTGTTGCCAACTTGTGAGCCACCACCGGGTGGCAAAAGACACCACCATGTAAAAAGGCATCCAATTCTCCAGGCTGAAACCTGTAGTGTCTGCATCATCTACTGTGTGTCTTAATGATAATTTGTCTTAATTATCCATACTCGTACCTTACATCTTAGCTACAGACTCATTCAAGATCATAATATTAATATAAAACTATGCCTTCAAAATTGAGAGTGATACTCTCTCAGCCTAGACACACAGGGGAGGACTTAAACCCCGCTCTAAATGTTACGACAGACTTTGAAGATCCCCAATCGAATGCCTCACCATCTCGAGATAGCAGAAAGGGGATGGGATAGGGAGTCTGGGGGGCAGGGGAAGAGGGGAGGGAGAGAGATTGACATTAAAACAAGCTTGTTTCTAGTTTAAATAAAAATGAAACATTTTTCTGAGTAAAAAATAGTTAAATTTGAGAGTGAGTGAGGAAGACAACGAAAGAAGGAAAGAGAGGGTTAAAAATGATGCAATGTACATATGGAAAATCCATAACTGTTAACAACAATCATTTAATTGTAAACATCCTGATTTTGCTTTATTTATGGCTGGCAGAAGACAATGTAGTTCCTTTCTCTTGAAATAACATGTCAGGTCTGCTGCTACCCCTCCGACTGTTCAGTGTCTCCCTTGGACTGTAGCAAAGAGCAACAGTGTGTTTGGGTGCACAGAACACTCACAATCCACATAATCAATGAAAAGAAAAGATGTTTATATGGTAATGTCTCTGCCTTCCAGTGCATTCAATAGGGTCAACATTTATTTGGTATCTTCCAGCCACTAAAGAAGTTGGGAAAATGGAAGCTCTCTCTAATGTCACAGAATTTGTTATGCTATAGTTTCATTTGAAAAGCAGATAAATGTAATGAAAGAACACAAAGCCATTAATATACCTTTAAAAAATTCCCAAATAGATTTAGCAAAACAAAGAGAAGCCTTGGTATTTTTTTGGATATGTGAGCAGAAAAAATATTTAACGTAAGAAGCTATATGCATATGCATTTATTGCAGCTGAGGAAAAAAAAAGGCAGACATGGATGTTCTATTCTTAAAAACTTTACCAGTGTTAACTAGCTCCAGGTGAAGACTGACACATTCCCGTGGGAGAGAATGTAGATCAGGAGCTCTGGATTTTATCAGCGTGTCGTTTCTGGGAGAAATTATCACATCAACTTAAAATAACAAGGAATAGATAATGGACTATTTTCTCTAAATTTGTCAAATGCTAATGGACTAGACATTGTTGATGTACTTATTGCCTGCAGATGTTGTATATAGCTGTTAGGCATATTGTATATAGTTTTCCTTATGTTAGTTATAACATCTTTTATGTTTAGACAAAAAAGGGGGATATTTGTCGATATCTTGCATGTATAGGTAAAGCTTGTCTGAAGATCAGAGGTTGGAGCTTGCCGCTAGCTAACCACAGAGGTTAGGATATCTGTACCGACAGACAGGAAGTGAGACATCTAGGTGAAAATAGGAAGTGAGATGGCTGGGCAGAGAAAGGATATAAGTAGGAAGAAACAGGAACTTGCTCTCTTTTCCACTAGGAAGCTAATGATGTAAAGGTGGCTTTGGTTTGATCCTTCTTCTCTCTGATCTCTCAGCATTTTCCTCTATAAAAAAAAATACAAGGCCTCCTGAATGAGAAGAGGCTTTATTTATTCATGTTGGCTGCAGGCTTCAGACAACTGGAACTGATTAGTTCACTTCTTTGCTGGCAGGGTGAAGTCCGTGGTGATAATTACTCTCTAATCTTCCCTATAGACAGCTTTCTTCTTGTGTTTACTCCAGTTACAGTTTCTCATTCTGCTCAAGCTCTACCACCCCTGAGCATTCTTCCAAGTAGTTTTCTTAGTCTCCTATTTTCCAGTAGATATTCTCACAGTGCTTTGTCAACAGCAGCAGCTGTTACCCCAGAAAATGTATTAAAAATGTGAACCACCCAGAACTGCTTTAAATCTGTGGGATCCAAAAGTTGGTGTGACATCCAGCAAGTTGCTGTAACAAATTCCTCAATGATTCTAACGTCTGCTACAGAAAGGAAAAAAGTCAAGCAGAAATACAACCACTGTTTATTATAGTTGTACAAGGTTCTGTCTTTTTGCTTCCATCTTGATTTCTAGCTATTAGAATCTGTTTTCAAACAAAAATGGAGAATGCCATCAAGACATCTATATTAAAATGCATTGCACACATGTGGATTTTAGACAATTGAATTTCACAGCTCTTTCCCTGGTCCTTTGATATTTCTTTACGATAGGTCCTGAAGGGACTTACCAATATCTGTGGAAGTTTAAATAAAAGTAGTAAATATTAAATTACAATTTTTATAAATATTTTAACCTAATGTCTTGCTATGTATCCTAGACTGATACTAGTCTCATTATACATTCCCAATTAGCCTAAGCCTTTCAAACCTCCTGTTCAGTCTTGAATGCTAGGACTACAGGAGTATAGCATCATACTATCTCTGGTTGGCTAGAAAACAGTGTACTTTTCAACAAAAATCTATAAAGTGTTTACTTATGTAAATTTTCATGTTTAATAATGACCTGAGAAACCTGAACATATTCTTATACTCTACAGAGTTCTTAAACTCAGATACATATTTCCATGTGTAAGAACTGGATATTAGATTTGGGGAATTAATTAGAAGCAGACGGCATGAATTTAAAATCCTGCCAGATTAAATTTGTCCTTTCTCCATGGACATTATTTATTTAAGTTTGATTCACAATAGACAGGATGTGAAGCAACAAAAGCATAATAGAAAGTATTAACTAGTAAATGACAAAATAATAGAAAATACATGGGAAATAAGATATTAGCAACCCTATGTGATGTCATCATAGTGAGTCTTTTTCTGTCTCTCCAGCCAGCTCCCAAATAATGATACAAAGACCTATTGTTAATTGCAAAAACTCTGCCTGTAGTTTAGGGTTGTTCCTATAGACTAGCTTTTATAGCTTAAAGTAACCTATTTCTATTAATCTACATTTTACCCTGTGGCTTTTTACCTTTCTTTCATTCTATATGTCTGACACCCACCATGTCTCGTTGGTGTCTCCTCTAGACCTTGATTATTTCCTCCTACTACCTCTCTCTGCCTGGACAGCAGGCCTATATCTCCTGCCTAGCTATTGGCTCTTTATTAAATCAGTCACAATAATATGTTTTCACACATGTCACCCCACAACATGTCATCCCTTATTTTTGAAAAATATTCTAATAACTGATACAAATTGAATCAAAATGATTAAAACAAATTAAAAACTTTGTGATAATTTCCAGACCTACAGATTTTGGTAACTCCAGAGCTCATTTCTTATTTTTGTTAATTTTTCATGTAAAATAAAACAATCTTATTTTACATACCAATCCCAGTTCCCTTTCCCTCCTGTCTTCCTATTACCCCCCCCACCACCATCCTCATCCCACCCTCCATCCACTCTGCAGAGACGGTGAGGCCTCCCATGGAGAATCATCAAAGTCTGTTACATCATTTGGGGCAGAACTGAGGCCCTCCCTTTTGTATCTAGGCTGATAGAGTATCGCCCCGTAGGGAATGGGCACAGCCCATTACTACAACTGTCTGAAATGACTAGAGATTTAGCATCATACAGATCACTTTATATAGCTTTACCTTGTTTACATATTAGTGTCTCCTAGCAACCTATTTCCAAACCACTATTATCATTTTTATAGCTTACAAACACGTGAATAGCGCTCTCCTGACTAGGAAGAGTCTATTCTATGTGAGAAGAGAAGCATATACAAGCAAATATTATTACTTTTTAGGTCATAGATGAAGTATAAACATATAAAAAAATTCTAGGGAGAGAGAAGAGGGCTATCCCTAGGCTGCTTGGATGGCATTCAGTGCTCAGCCACTCTATTGGGGCCCTGCTTAGGTTGCCTCCACTTTGTCTTGCTACTCAGACTGCATTTGCTGAGATAAGGATTCCTCCCTGCAGCAAGAGCTTAGGTAGAGATGTTTTAAGCCTTTAGACACACTAAAGCTGAAGGAATAATAATGCATGCTGCAAACACTACAGCCAAGCACTGTAGCTCATTTCACACCCCAAAAGGTTTAAGCAATGAATACAGCCAGGTGGGATTAAACTAAAAAGGCCTTTGGAGAAGGAATGTCTTTCTTTTCGGATAGGAAGGAAAGAAGGGGATTGAGTTGGCAGGACAGAGTTCAGGACTTTTATAGACTGGGTGATGGTGGTTGGAAGAGAGTCTGAGACAAGCACTCTAACAGTCTCAGCAGTGGGCAGTTATGTAACACCGTGTCTGAACTGGATGAATTTGAAATGTGAATCTTATTCAGTTACTATATTTATAGCAACACACCTACTATTCGCTTAGAGAAACTTTTAATGAACAGGTAAATTAAACACATTTTAGATTTTTCTGACCTAAGCTCTTTAAAGTTTGTGACATTTGCATAGAAGCAAAGGAACGTGGTGAATAGAAGAGCTTTTGTGACCTAATCAATCCATCCTCTGTGCATGGTACCATAGTCACAGTAAAAGAGAAATCAGTGGGTCAATATTGTCACTGTGGTCTATTATCTTACAGAAGTAGTAGTGTTTGGATGAAAGCAAATTGCTGGCACTTCAACCAAAAAGGTGGCTGAAAGATGAGGTTTTAGAAGCTTATCAAGAAGGCAAGTTCTTTGTGGATACTATCTTGAGTATTGTGTACAGCATGCTTTCCTGTAACTTTATTTGCCCAAGTGTTACTGGTTTTATTTTAATCAATTGTATTTATTGTGTGTGCTGATACATGGAAGGGTGTGTGTGTGTGTGTGTGTGTGTGTGTGTGTGCGTGTGTGTTTTGAGCCAGATGACTGGTGCATACCACGACATGAATCCTGTCCTAGATCTTGGGTTATAACTTGTTAGTATCCCTTGCCAATGTGCCTTGACCATCCCTATAAGGCAATAAATTGATCAGAGATGAATTTTGGGAAGCTGTCAAAGTACTGCCTTTCCTTTGCTCCTCGATTACTTTTAATTAATGATTTTTTTTTATTTTAAAGCAGGAGTCAGTAAGTATAATTTGTATCTCAGGTAAATGATAAGCTTTTAGTAAAGTGTATCATTTACTGGAATCACTTATAATGGAGGTCATTTTCATACAGTGGAAATTATTTTCCCAACAACTTAACTAGAGTTTCTTCCAGTTCACCACACCTAGGTATTCTATTGTACTATGGCTGGAGCTAAAAGTACTTGCCACCAAGTCTAAGAACTTGAGTTCCAATCATCTCCAGGAATGGCATGGTAGAGAGAACGTCCTTCTATCTCCTCCACCCTCCCCCTCTACCCACTCTTCCTCATTTTACTCTCCCCTCCTGTGTATATATACGTACACCTACATATCCCTAAATTAATAAATGTAATTAAAATATAAATATATAATTTGGAAGTTTTAAGTAAAAAGGAAACAAAAATAGAAAATATTTGTTTCTGTAAAAAGTAAATAATGAGTCATCAAGTTTAAAGGTAGTAAAGTTCTTTCTGATCTTCTCATATCTTGTTCTGGTGGGTTTGTGTTTGTGTGTGTGAGCATATTCATGTATGTGTCTCTGTGTGTTCATGTGTGTGCATGTGCATGTGCATGTGTGTGCCTGTATGTGTGCATGTGTGTTCACAGTTGAAATAAGTTAGCTTTTCCCTACATACTTGAAAATACTCAGGCCACTGGCAGAAATTACATATGGGAATCAGAATACTGTCTATCAATTTATTAATCCAGTATAAATGCCAGTTTTAATTTCAGGTTTCAGTACCTCATGTCAAATTATTGAAATAAATTAAATGTGTGTTTGTATGGGATCTTTCAATTTATTTTATTTATTTATTTATTTATTTATTTATTTTTGTTTTCCAATTTTTTATTATTATTATTAATTCAAGTTGGGGAACAGGCTTGTTTCACATGTAAGTCCCCTCTCCCTCCCCTCACCCCGATCCCTCCTCTCCCAACTCCAACCTATCCCCCACCCCATCCACCCACCACTCCCCATATGCAAACAAACGTTTCTCCCTTCCGTTTCCTCCAATTAATTATGGTAACTTTATTTTAAAAACAAAATTCATCCCTCTACCTGAGTATCTACATTGCAGTAGAAGAACACTGATGCAAGTCTATTTCCTGTCCAAATTTTAGAATGTGAGGATAGGTTTAACTAGTCTGGTATGTAAGGTAGAGACATATTGCATGGGACTCTCACAGTTAACAACTCCTCCTGAAACTCCTAATCAGGAAACAAATCATTAGCTCAATTACTCACTAATTTTCTTTAAATATCAGTAATTAATTTTAATGTTTTTGCCAGGCAAATCCCATGGGTATGGGTTGGGCTGTAACAATGTAGATCTAGAAAACATGATTGAAAACTCTCTGTTATTTTAGCATTGCTCTTGCCTCAGTGTAAAAAATTATCTTTACTTTGATAAAAAAAAAACACAAAAAAGTTATTCAAAGTACTTTTACTTATGCATACTACAAATGGAAAGGAATTAAAGTGTTTAATACAAAGGAGTAAAGTCTGATGAAATCTGCCTCATGTTATTTTCTCAGATCTGTGGAGAATTGCAGTTCATACCCAATCTGCATAAATAACCCTGAGAGACTACAGTGCCTGCTTAATAAATTATATCCTAAATAATTTCCCACTGTACCAAACACATCATTTAAACTCACCAAAATTTCTTTCTAGTTCCTGTTGCCAGTCTGAATAATGCTCATTAATGCTGTAGTGCTTTTCCAGTTTTTTAAGCACTAAGGAGACTAATATGAATGCATAGGGACAAAGATTAACATCTTTGCATGAATTACCTGAACCATCTCAGAAGAAAGCAAGTCCTGGCCTTTCTAAAAAA